CTCCTTCTCTTTCTCTCTCTCCCTCTCCCTTCCTTCCCCTTCCCTTCTTCATCATCTCTCCCACACCCTCTCCCTCAGTCCCACCCATCTTCGCTCCCTCCCTCTCTCCCTCCACCCACTCGTTCCCAACCACCCACACCCCCTAACTCCCTCCCTCCGTCCCTCCCCTCCCTCCCTCCAACCCTCCCTCCCTCCACCCCCTCCTTCCCACCCACTCACACCCCCTCCCTCCCTCCTATCCCTTCCATCCCTCTACCCTTCCCTCCTTCCCTCCCCTCCCGCCCACCCATCCCTCTCCCCTTCCCCCCCTCCCCCCCCAACCCATTTAGCAATATCTCAGCCTCTCCTTTGATTCGTCGGCTTGTACTACCGCGTCCTTGTTATTGACTCTTTAATAGGATACACAGAGGCGTTCCTTTAGGGGATGCTCCTGCAGAAGGGGTTGGGGGGGGGGAGGCAGGAAGGGAGGGGGAGGAAGGAAGGGAGGAGTTAGGGAGGGGTGGAGGGAGGGGGAAGGAGGGAAGAAAGGAGCGAGGGGGGGAGGGGAGATTGAGAGGAGCTAGGGGGGGTGGAGGGTGGAGGGAGGGGGTAGGAGGAAAGCGAGGAGCGAGGGAGGGGTGGAGGGTGGAGGGAAGGGTTAGGGAGGGAGGGAGGAGTTAGGGAAGGAGGGAGTGGAGGGAAGGAGGGAGTGGAGGGAAGGAGGAGGGGTGGAGGGAGGGGTTGAAAAAGGGTGAAAAAGGAGAAAGAAAAAGGATTTTTTTTTTTGTTAATCGTTAAGGTCTTTCACTTACGATTGTATCTTATTGCGAATTATGTGAAGGTCAGTATTATCACGATCTTTCTAAGCACTCTTCATCTTATTCAGCTATTTATCTGTTCCATTTTGGTGATGGGGGGGGGGGGTAAATACAAAAATTATCTAAGCTTTAATTTGGTTTGCATTTGTTATACTATGATAAGGATCAGCGGAATGAATATAGAATAACACAAAAAGATATTTCCAAGAAAACACAAAATTAAAACTTACGTAAAAAAGGCATGCAAAGGAAAACACCAATAACCCTAAAACAAAATAACCATCAAACTTAAACCATAATCCAAGACTTAAAACTTAAAACTCTAGTGCAAAATTCCAAAACTTAAAACTTAAACTCTAGTGCAAAATTCAAAACTTAAAACCACAATGCGAAACTTAAAACTTAAACCACAATTCAAAACATAATAAACTTAACCATAATTCAGAGCTCCAAAACTTAAACCATATTCCAAGACTTTTAAAAAATTAATAAACCATAAGAATAACAATCAATATATCATTATATTTTCACCACATTTACAAGGAGTCGAAACAAACCGCACAGACATTCAATCCTTCGTATGTTTGAGGTAAAATTTGTACCCATCTTGTTTGTCTCTTTTTATCGCTAAAAATCATCTACATCAATCATTAAAATATAATTATCTATATTTATATTGATGCAATGATGATTAACATTACATCTCGCCTTATTTTTAGAAGGAAATAAGTATTACATTGCACAGATATCACATTTCAATACGATATATAATCAGTGATGATCCAGCGGAAGAAAACGATATGCAATACACATTTTACGTAAAAAAAGACTAATCGGCAACTCCTTTTTTTTCTCGTTATTCTTGTCTCCTCGTTTGCTTGTTTTTTTGTTTGTTCTTGCGATGACGACGACGATTTAGGGCAAGGATAATGATGATGATAATGATGATGAAGGTAATGATAATGTTTTTGATGATAAGGATAAGGATAATAGTGATAACAAATAGGAATAACAACCAAAATGATAATAATGATGATAATGAAAATAGAAATAATAATGGTAATGGAAATAGATAAAAGCAATAACAATGATTATACTGATAATGATAATCGAAATAATGATAATGATAGGAACAAGAATAACAATAGTGGTAATATAAATAATGATACTAGATTATTAATAATGAAAAATAATGACACCAATATAAAATATAATGATACCAAAATATATAGTAATACTGATTTTTAAAGAATAAAATACTAACAATCATCAAAGAAACAAAAGCAGTAGCAACAACAACAACAACAATAAAAAACAATAATAATAAATAATAACACAGAAACAACAAAAACACAGAAACAAAAAACACACACTCAAAAAAGAAAACACAAAATAAAAAAAAAAAACGCAAAGAAACGGAAGTCCACCAATCATTCATAATAAATTCCGCGAAAAGATTATAGAGTCGCGGGGGTTACGTGTGTAATCAACTTTTGCTCGGATTCGTTGAGCTTCTGTGTGTTTGACAAGGTGCTCTCTCTCCTCTCTTTATCTCTCTTCCTCTGCCTCTGCTCTCTCTCTCTCTCTCTCTCTCTCTCTCTCTCTCTCTCTCTCTCTCTCTCTCTCTCTCTCTCTCTGTCTTTCTCTCTCTCTCTCTTCTCTTCGTCTGCCTCTCTCTCTTCTCTCTCTCTCTTCTCTCTCTCTCTCTCTCTTCTCTTTCTCTTCGTCTGCCTC